TTCCAAATTTGAACCAGGAAGAAATTGACAACCTGAATCAATGGATATCTAGTAATGAGATTGAAGGAGTGATTAAAAACCTCCCAAAAAACAAGAGCCCAGGACCTGACAAATTCCCTGGGAGGTCCTAGAAATCCTTCACTGCAGTAACTTCCAGAGGACAGATGGTCCTGTCTACTCAGGAAAAGCCAAACAGAAGTTCTCCCCTGCATTCAGAGGTTTCTGTAATTCACAACTCTTACACACATAGAGACCCCCAAATGACCAGTACTGACCCATAGGTAGGGACAGCTCTATGCCCCTATTCAGCAGGAAGAAGATACAGAAGATGAGACTCTCCTCCTTCACCAACTTTAATGACTGAAGGGTCTAAACTGTTGAGTAGGACATGAGGAGGGTGGAGAAGACTAGCTGAGGACAAAGCAGAAGTTGGCACGCCACACCATCCCTCCACAACATGTGATATGGGTGACATTCCTCAGTCACTCTGGCTGCCCTAAAGCCAAAGCCAAGGAAAGGGGAAAAAAAAAACCAAACAGATTCTCCACAGATGGAGTTCAAAACCCTGCAAGACCGGAGTCTCCCTCAGTTTTATTATAAAAGTCCTCTTGATTCTCCAGGAAGAGGCTTGCTTAACAGGCTAACTACCTTCCAGAGACCCGTAACTCCGTTTCCTGAAACCCTAACATCTCCCTCCCCTCCATGACACTGAGGGAGGCTGAGGCAGAAGGAAATGTCAATAAGACAGAGTTTCTTTTCAAACCTGCAGTCACTTGAGAAGGACCTGTGAGAAGAGGAAGCTAACATTCCTCTAGGCAGCTCCAAACCATCTTTCTATCAATGTCTTCCTAGAAGGAAAAACCACCTTCATTTGACAAGAGCAAAGCCTCCTGTATCCTGGGTATCTTCTGTCCTCCTGCAACGTTCTTGCAAAACCTCCTTTTTGCCTGACCTCCCCCAGTGCCATCCCAGAGAGTCAGCCTCCCGTCACAAACCCAGCAAGCAACCCTTTCTACCCACAGGTCGTATCCCTGTGCTTTAATAAAAATCACCTTTTGCCAGCAAAGCCATCTCAAGACTTCTTTCTTGACTATCAGCCTTGAACTCTAACGTCTTTCCTACATCAATCCTGTCTCTTGTAAGGCTCCTGTGGAAACAACCCTGAAACACTGTCCCATTCGGTCAACTCTTCCGACTCCAACCACCTAACCCACTGCATATTCTGTGTCCTCTGAGGACAGGACACTTCTGTGATTCTTGGGCTGAAACCGTCACATGGCACCTCTTTAAGTCCTTGACGTGGTTGAGTTTGCCCATCTTAAACTCCCCAGCATCCCGTCCTCACTTTCTTTTTCTCGCATGTTTATCTGGTCAATAGGTTCTCATCACCAAAGCCCTATAACAGGTCTCTGCTCCTGAGTAGAGGACTCCATTTCTTTCCTTTGTCATCAAGCTCAAATATTAACTCTCAGATGTTTGTCTCACAACTTTCAAAATTTTTCTTTCCCCTAATGCCTCTCTACTAGTTTATCTTCTCCTTTTTTTCAAGCATGCCCACCCTTGCTTCCTTCCTTCCTTCCCCTAGTTATCTTTTTCTTTTTTGTATTCCTTCCTTCCTCCCCTCTTTCTTTCTTTTGTTCTCTTAGTCAACATAGAGTACTTCAGTAGTTTTTCATGTAGTGTTCCATGACTCATTGATTGCATATAAGACCCAAGTGCTCATGGCAATACATTCCCTATTAAAAAGGATGGAGTGATACCCACACAGGTGCACCTCAAAGGTCTGCTTCTCTGCAAGTCAACGGGAAGCTTCATGGTAATGAGCCCTGGCCTTCCACACTACAGCTGTACATGGAGTACACTAAGCGTTCACCACAATCTCCTATCTTCCAAGACACTGAGGAATCGGGTTTTCCCACCAAATATCTGAATAGTTTCATTTCTTGGCTGAAATGGGCCTCAAGTCAAGCCATCACTATGTAGAAAGATCTATCTGAATTCAGGAAAGGAACATTGCACTCAAACAGAAGTGGTGTGCAGAGTTTTACACAGAGGCCATACCTGAAGGAGGAGGCTGGAATTACTACAAGTCAGAAAGGGATGAACATGAGTGACCAATCCTTGCACAACCCTTCCTGTTCTGGCCATTAGCAGAGGGTTCACACTGCATAGGAACCCGGCCAATGCTGGGGCACAGGAGGGAGATTTCTCACGTCCCTCACCTCACTCCATGTGTGTTGCATCCTGGGAAGACAAACCTTGTATTTACTGACAATGTAGAAGAGCCTTCAACCATGTGTCCCTGGTGCCAGTGACATCAGAGCTTGTTCATCCTGGATCACACCACACACATCTCCCCAGTGTGGGAGAGCCTTTAGTTGGGGCCTTAACCTTGGGAGACATGAGAGAACTCACCCTTCCGAGGAAAGTAGACATGGCACGCATGGGGGAAACAATTCCAGGGCAGTGCTCACCTCTGTACACAGCAAAACCACCGGAGTGGCACCTTAGGGATGGAACAAAGGTGGGAGACCCTTCATTCAGAGATCTCTGCTCTTATTCATGCCCAGGACCTCACACGGGGTAGAAGCCATGTGGTGGGATTGCTGTACAACATCTCACAGCAACATGCATCCCTTCGAGGCCATGGGCACATTCCCACAGACAGAAACTGGTTGAAGGCCATCTTCAAGGGAAAGCATTTAATCCAGCCACACCCTTAGCCAATATCTGAGGATCCACACCAGTGGGAACCCCGACAAATGCAGTCAACATGGAAGAGCTGTTAGATACAGCTCTCACATTTGGAGACACCAGACAACTCAGAGCAGAAAAACCTGTGTCTGTCATCACCGGGGTCCCACCTTTACCCAGAGCACCCACCTTTCTCACCACCACAAAAATCAGACAGTACAAATCCCGTGTCTCTGATCTCTGAGGCAGAGCCTTCTGCCAGAAGTGGTCCCTTTCCCAACACCAGAGAACTCACATGGGGAGAACCACTAGCTCTGTATCTTGGTGGGAGAAGCTTCAACTAGGGCTCAGGCCTGAGCTCCCGCTACCATCTCAGAGTGTACGTCATCCCTCACACAGGAGCGAAGGTGCAGGGACCTCCTGGGACACCCTGCATCATCGCTCCTGATGAATGCCAATTAAATCCATGTGGGAATCCCATTCCTCACAGAGCCAACTCGTAAAGGGCATGGGAGGATTCGCACACAAGAAAATCCTCCCGGTGTGATGAGGAAAGGGATGTGCTCAAGTATCCCTTCTTCCTTAGCCAGCAACCACGCCCTCACAAGGAGGAATCACTGATCCCAATGCAATAGGGGGAAATTCTTCCCCAGACACTCACATCAGAAAATCACTGGGCAAATACCTCCCAAGGAATTTCTTAGGGGGACATTGAGATACAATCTCAGACACTGACAATTTTTCACTGCAAACACATACAACTGGGTCACGTTCTGAGTGATATTGAATGCATTATTCCAGTAACCAATAGCTAGAAATAAAGCACATCTACTCTGATCCATCAGTACTTGCATAAAGGCCAATCTCACCAAACAGGCGGGGTCTCACAACCGTGCACACTGTGCCAAGTAAGAATGGGGGACTTTTCCTTTATTAGCTCTCACAACCTACACAGGAACTATCTCTTGGTAGGAAGTTTGATCACAGAAGTAACACTGCCTGGGATCCATGAGAACATCAATTGGAGGGTTAACTCAGAATCTCAGAACACAAGGTGATTGATGTATGTTTACAAAAACATTAACCTATCCATGTATGTAGATAGCAAGGATGAATGGCAACAAGATTCAACAAACACATGGTTTGTGATCTACCTCTCATGTGTCCTTAATTCTACTAATATTGTCCTCACAAATTGGAAAGGATTTACAAATTAATCACATGCTTAGAAATATTTCTATTTACTTCACTTATTTGAGAGTGAGAGAGCTAGAGAGGGAGCAAGAATAGTCAGGGTCGAGCAGCAGGGAAGAGGGAAAAGGGTGCCCAATACAGGGCTTTATCCCCCATGACCCAGGGATCCTGACCTAAGCCAAGGGCAGATGCTTACCCAACTGCATCACCCAGGGCCTGGCAAATTAATTTCATCTTTTACAAAGGTGCTCTTCTGTAAGACCTATTGGTACCAGGGCAGGAAAACCTCTACAGTTCAGCATCAGGCAGTGAGGGCTTCCTCCCTGTCTATGAGAACTTGGGAGCCAAGGTGTTTTCTCCACCACCAAGCACAGCTATGTATCTCTGGGCCTGAGAGGGTGTACAACCACTGCAGACATGGAAATACTCCCCGATTTGGAAGATTTTAGAACAGAAGGGGGTTCTTACACTCCCTTCCATAAAGACAAAGCATGTCAAGGAATGCCCTTGTGGTTCTTTCAGTTAAAGGACCAACTTTTGTTTTTGGCTCAGGTTATGATGTCAGGGTTATGGGATTGAGCCCCGTGTCATGCTATGCAAGGCATGTGGAGTCTGCTTAAAGGTCTCTCTCATCCTCTGCAACTCCCACTCACCCCGGGCCAAAAAAAAAAAAAAAAAGAGAGAGAGAGAGAGAGAGAGAGAGAGAACGTGTGCAGAAGTCCACTCAGACATCCATTTGTAATGATGCCTGGTATTCTTTGCTCTAGATGAATGGCCCAATAAAGCAAGTGTGGGCAGAAAGTCGATCATAGAGAGAAGGTCTATTTATAAGGTCAGCCTGCAATAACTCAGGATTCTGCTACCAGAGGCAACCTGGAGTTCAGAAGTTTTGTGTGGGGCAGGCACTTGCAGAACCTTCTCCATATGTGCCACTAAGTAATGTTCCCCAAGCAGCAAACTCTAGATATTCTGGTTAAGGTTACATCCCAATTTAATCAAAAAGAAGAGGGTATCTTTCCCTCCAGAAGAAAGACAGAAGCCAGCAAAAAAGAAACCCAAGTCAAGGCCTGAATCTCAACCCAGGCAGGAGGTTCAGAACCAGGACAACTTACTACTGTGATGTACATCCACCAGGGAGATGACAGGGGTCACACTCCTGTATGTGCTGCACTTCAATCTGCACTGAAGAGACAGAGGCCAGATGCTTTGGATGCTGCCCATGAGGCCACATCCTCTGAGCCTTGAAGCACCACCTGTAAAAACAAGGAGATAATTTAGTTGAGGTCTCAAGACCCACACATGGGGAGACACAGGGTCACCCATGATGGAAAGCAGGCCCCTTCCTCCTAGCAGGGAGTGTCGTCTCAAGGAGGCCAGAACCACAGGGCCCTGTGATCTGTGAAAGACTTAGCATTGCTGCTGGAAGACCTTCCCTTAATACATGCTTGGCGATTTGGCTGCCAAATGAGGCAGAAATGGGCCTGAAATGTGGCTGAAATGTGCCTCTGGTCTTTCCTTGCTAAGACATGCCTCACATGGACCCTGGAACTCAAAAGGAAAAAAAAAAAAAAAAAAAAACAAGAACAACTACCTTCCACTTCCACAATAAACTTCCACTTCAGGGTCGTGGCTACAGCAGACTTCACACAGTATGTATTTTGCCCTGATAAACACCAACCCTCCAATAAAGCACAGAGCATAGAGCCAGGCTTCAGCATCCCGGTGACCTGGCTGGCTGATGTGGCTGTCTGGGCCTGCCTGCCTCCCTCCCTGGCTCCAGTCCTTTCCTATGAGCATCCGCCTGGGCCATGTGACTCTGGCTCTGCCCCAGGTGCCCCTGGTCCTGGGTGTAGGCTGTCAAAAGGCAGTTGAGGAAACACAAACTCCAGCTGGCTGACACTCTGCTCCCCTCAACCCAACCACCATGGTGACCAACGTGGACCCAGGTGCCAGATCGGACTGCAGCCCCCACCTTCCTGCTCAAACACAGGGCGATCCTCGGAAGCAAGGCACATTGGCCCCAAATAACCTGCCCCTTAGCATGAATAACACCTGGGGACAGAAGCCTGAGATGCCAACACAATCTACATTCCAGGCAGTGCATTTCACTCGTCCTCATGTTTTGCAAAGGTTGTCTGGTGGTTCCAGAAAAATCCGGCTAAGTTATGGCCCAGGTGCTGTTGTTGTTTAGAACCCTTAACCTCCCCAGATTTTTGAAAGGTCACCTGACCCATTTCAGAGGGCTGGCACAGCGACCACGCCCACTTCTCCTGCCAGCCTGGGACTCTGCCTGCAGAGGGAATTCCCATCATTGCTGGCCAGAGGCATGACACTCTAACTGCCCCAGCTGACCTGAGCAGGAGCCCCAGTAGAGGAGGGGAAAAGGGACAGGGCCCTTGGGTCAAAGAAGAGCCTACATGGTGCTCAATGAGACATGACATCCCTCTGGGAGCCGCCAAAGAAGGGGCAGCTATGACAACAAACTCAGGGGTTTCATCTTATCACAAAGAGGTATAAACAATGAGCCACGGGGCTGTCTCAGACCTGAGAAGGGGCTGTGACCAGCAGGTCAGGCTGATGTGGATACCGGGTTGCTGCGGGCCCACCTGGCACCGTGGGCCACAAAGCACAGACTTCTCGGCAGAGGCGAAGGTCAGCACATGCCTGGATTCCTAAGGAGGCAGTGCCTCTCTCTGGCAGCAGGTCCTGGGAATAAGGAGGATGCCTCCAGGTGTGAAATAATCCCTCAGTTCTGAGTGCAAGACTGGAAGACTGTAAGACTCTCTTTCCATTGGGTTGGCCCAGCCCTCCACAGATCTCTTTCCCAGCAGTGACCACCTGGAACCCACAGTCTCCCCTTCCCATGGTGCCCTGGAACCATGCTCTTCAAGAGGGGCACACTGCTAGGCCCCTGAGAGAGGCAGGCCAGGACTCCCAGAGGGCAGGGTCACCCGGAGCATACAGGCCTCACTCACAAACGCCTCCACAGCACGCTAGATGGGCTCAGGCTGATGCTCTTGGAGGCTGTCAGGATGACCCCAAAGTGCTGGTATTTCTTCACACCTACAGGTGGAAAGAGACAGGGATCAGAGGGTCCAGAACCACCTCTCTCTCTTGGAACTGCACTGAGCTTCTGCGGGGAAAGCCCCAGGCATCCCCAGAGGTTCTGTGTGGAGCGGCATCCTCCTCCTTCCTGGACCAGGGACTTTCATCCACCCAGCACAACAGCAGACCCACACAGCCCCTCTGCACTCAGGGTCAAGGGGACAGAAGGCTCTCTTCCAGATGAAGAGCAGAGGAGACAGAACACAACGTTATGGGTCTTGCCATTCCTCCAGAATCTCTTTGTGAGAACAGATGGGAAAGAACCCAGCATCTGAGCAAGAAATGCACTGTTTGGACTCTTGAGTATTTTAAATTTGTCATTTTCCAGTGGCTTCTACCTTGCATTTCTCCTTGCATACTACTGAAAATGTCAAAATAAGTGTTCCTCCAAGAATACAAGTCAGCCATCAGGTCTACCCAGAAATGAGACCCTAAGTACCATCTAGATGGGATGTGCTCAAATCTTCTTCTTCGTGGGATGCAGTCTGAAGACTCAACTAGCTTGGATGATCCAGGAACTAGAAAACTGCCACCTTCCAGGGGCAGAAAGGACCCAAAGCAGGTTGCCAGCCACCCAGACCATGAAAAGAGATGGTAGGAAAACCCACTCAGATCATTGCTGTTTTCCTGTTAGAAAGATGAGAGAAAAGAGATGGATGAGAATTCTCAAGGAAGATTCATGATGATGGAAGCTTTGCTAAGAGAGCTACTCTGAAACTAGAGTGTGAAGGCCAATCAGGAAGGAAACCATAGGCACTTCTCCTGTTTCAAGTGTCTAAGCACCGTGAAATTTGATTTCCGGCACATGGACCTGCTCAGTGGCAGATCCACCATCCCCTGGTACACATCCTTCTACTCTGGACTGAAAGAGAGACAACATAACACTTGTTAGCTGCCAGCACTCATCATCATCCTTTCAAAACAAGTGCCTGTGCTTTTCCCTCATGAACCTGCACTCCCTGCTCAAAATAGGGAGCACACCTGATTTCTCTCCACTCCATGTCTCCCAGATGACTGGGCCTAATTCCCCAAACAGAAGTGTACCATTTTCTTTTTTCTTTTCTTTCCCAGCACCCACTTCTTGACTGACACGAAGATGTACCAATGCAAAGGGCCATGTTAGGCTATTTATACATCATCAGGTTATGGCAAACATCAGAGGAAAGTTAAAATGCCAAAGTCCACCTCACCTTAAATTCAGATTCCTGAAATCGATGGGTTTCCAATTCAGTCTTTTTGGGGAATTTCTTTCCAAAGAACCAGCTCCGGCTGTCGGAAATAAAATGTCTATTTGGGGGTTACCTGGGTGGCTCAGTGGGTTAAAACCTCTGCCTTCGGCTCAGGACATGATCCCAGGGTCTTGGGATCGATCCCCACATTGGGCTCTCTGCTCCGTAGACCCTGCTTCCTCCTCTTTCTCTACCTGCCTCTGCCTACTTGTGATCTCTGTCTGTCAAATAAATAAGTAAAATCTTTTAAAAAAGAAACAAAATGTCTATTTTTTTATAATCATTTTTTTTTTGTTTTCAGCAGAACAGTATTCATTATTTTTGTAACACACACAGTGCTCCATGCAATCCGTGCCCTCTCTAATACCTACCACCTGGTTCCCCCAACCTCCCACCCCCCCACCTCTTCAAACCATTCAGATTGTTTTTCAGAGTCCACAGTCTCTCATTGTTCACCTCCCCTTCCAATTTCCCCCAATTCCCTTCTCCCAACTCCCCATGTCCTTCATGCTATTTGTTATGCTCCACAAATAAGTCTATTTTGACAGAACGTCAGAAATCTATCCAATTTCCTCCATCATAGTCTCTAAGGTACTCTAAATAACTATACTTGTCTTCACACCAACACCACCAAGTAAACCCTCACCAAGTCATAAACTCTAATTGTTATCTGACATTTGCCAAAGTGACAGAGATTACTTGATATTATTCAAAACTTAATTTCTTAAAAGTATATGTTTTCATAACATCATTAAGAAAGTTTTCCAAAACTGTGCCAGAAAAATGATCTATTTAGATATCAATTGGATAAAACGATATAATTGTGTTACCTGAAGCAGCATGATGATTGTATTGTCATGTGTAAATATATGCTGTTACTAGTTTGGATTTTTCCCCCTCCCATCGTATTATGTTGCAGAACTCATAAAATATCTTCATTTATGTCTCATTTTTATTAACTTGTTTATATATTTTGTAACGATTTTACTCACTTCTTTGGCAGAGAGATAAAGTTCCCAAGCAGGCAGAGTGACAGGCTGAGGCAGAGGGAGAAGCAGACGCTCCTCCCTTGAGCAGGGAGCTCGACTCTGCCTCGATCCCAGTGCCTGGAACTGAGGTGAAGGCAACTGCTTAAGCAACTGAGAAACCCAGGTGCCCCAGGTAGAAACTACTTTAAAGAAATCACGTTATATTTGTTGCCTGCAAATGCCTATATCCCCTGGGTTTTTGCCAAGGAGTTCTGAATTTTCACTTTCCAAGGGACCGCACGGCAGTGGCCAGTCCCGCAGGGACTTATAATGTATGTGGCCCCCCGCATGCCACGCTCCAGGGAGTGCACGGACAAGGGGTGAAACCAGCAGAGAGGTTTTGGTTCCAAACACTCCAGAGTGCACAGACTGACCTCAGCAGCCAAGAGGGTCCTACCCAGCTGTCACCTGCCTCATCCTCTGTGTCCATGCAAAGACACCACATATGCATGCCATGTATGCAGGTCCCGAGGCGCCACCCAGTGGTGGAAACTACCCACTGTCCACAAAGGGCAACCCTCCCTGCAGACCAGAAATGGAGGGTGGGTGGCAGGGAAGAGGGAAGTCAATGCACTAAGGGCCTTTGAAATCGGAAATGTAGGGGGAATCCAGTGTTTTCAAAGAGTATCTCTCTGTCCCCTGCAGAAAGGGCACCTTGGGATCCAAATTAATGCAACTCACTGAAAAATGACAGACATATGTTTGCATCCTTAGCACGTGGCTCAGGCAGTCCACCCCACAGACAATATTAGTAACTGTCACCCTTGGCTCAAAGGGGCTCCTGGAAAGAACACAGGGCCTTCTTGGGGAGGGGAGCCCTCAGGAAGCACTTTTTTTTTTTTTTAACATATTTTACTTATTTGACACAGGAGGCATGACTTGGGTGAGGGG